TTCAAGTACTTGCTTGATGCCTTTTGGTTCTCCTCTCAACTTTTTCACCAGATAATCATTTGGGAATATCATTTTTTGATCATGCTTTTCCCCATATTCATCTACATACCAACCATCACGCATTTTAGGTTGTTTTCCATCAGGGCCTTTATTCATTCTTGTTGCAACCAATGCATCCTCTGCCATTGCGTTATGGTTGGTAGATTGGTCGAAACAAAAAACTCCTACATATCCAGGGTACAATATTTCGAATATAGGTATCGCCTTCTGTAAAAGCTATATTCACAGATAATAAATAATTGTATTAAAACCTTTGTTAAAAAAAAAAAAAAAAAAAAAACCTGTTCAAGCATATGTTCTGACTTCCAATATTCATCTTCTTGTACAGAACGGATAACAAAAGTTTCCTTATACTTGACATGTGGATTGGCCCGGAATTGCTTTTCGGACAGCTGTAATAATCCATGGCACGGACAAATGAAAGCTGAAACTATTACGGAATGTCCTATATGCTTTGAACGCAAAACATACTCGTCATCTCGGGTCTAAATCCTACGTAGGCTATCATTTGCATAAAAGTGACATTCGTTATGCGTAACTTGCATCAACTCCTTTTCACTATATTTGAGTTCTGGCTCTACTATTACTTCTAGCATATCATCCACAAAGTCTTTCATACATTTTTTGTACGTGAACATCCTCTCTAACCACTTTTTTCTATACGCTAGCACATTTGGCCGTTCATGCCCATCATAATATACACCCTTCCTTCTCTCATCATACTTGTATCCTAATGCATGCATATATATGTGACACGTTTTCGCGGAGATTGTATCTTTTGTATGCTCTATTTTTGGCAATAATATTTCTTCAACATACATTTTTAGGGCCCTAGGTGATCGTGATTCTGGAGATTGTTGCTGCAACCATTCTTGGCATCTATCTAAAAAATCCTTATTATCAAACAAGCTTATAGACTTTTTATGCTTTTCTTGGCGATAAGAAAAAAGTTCACCTGATTCTATATAATAATCACTCCATTTTCTGATACACCTTGACATATAATCGCCTTTATTCTATAGTATTTGTGCTACCTGGATACTAGCATTCATTTTTCTTTGTCCATCTAATAATAATTGGATGTATTAGCTTATGCTTAATAGACATAAGTAATCATATGTTGATGTATTGCTTTTTGACGATTTTTTTATTTGACACTGTTTACTAATATCTTCTAAATGTATACGTAAGATTGAAGCAGTATTAACGGATAATGAAGGAATTTGTGGAGCCTTACAGAATGATTGTGATAATGATATATTACTTGATGCTGAAGTATCAAGTAATATGTCATTCAATGTTTTATCATCGAGTAACATGTTATTCAACGTTTCAGTATTGAGTGACATATTACTCGATGCTTCAGCATTGAGTAACATATTACTCGATGTTTCAGTGGCAAATGATATACCATTATTTTTATTTCTATTTTTTTTCTCATTTTCTTCCGGTTTTTTCTTTTTATTTCACCTCCAGATTGTAGCTCTTGAATTTTTAGAATATACTCTTTTTGCCAGTTAGCTAACATTCTCATCTTTCTCGCACGTTCTTAATGTGGATTCATTCTGTACTTCAATAGCTTCATGTATTTCCTGGCTAATGTTCTCATCTTCCTCGCACGTTCTTAATATGGATTCATTCTGCACTTCAATAACTTCATGTGTTTCCTGGTCGATGTTCTCATCTTCTTTGCACGTTCTTAATGTAGATTCATTCTGTACTTCAATAACTTCATGTGTTTCCTCTTGAGATGTGAAGCGACTCTTCTTTCTAGGTAATTTATTTATTTGTTGTCGTCTTTTTGATATATGAGGCATCGTAAATTAGTGCAATTTTAATTGGTAATCAAAACAAATGGAAAAATCAATAAACAAAATAAATGGATCAATAAGTATATATATGGTGTATATATATATATGGTATATATAATTTAGTATTTTATCATGAATCAAGTTTTTCGCGTAATATTATCAAAAAT